TTTGTTGCCATCATCATTCTCAAAACATTTGCTTTCTGCTTGAGCCCTTGGTATCAGCTAATTTTCCCCTCCCTCCCCGCTCCCTCATGAACCCTTGATAATTTTTGAACCCTTGATAATTTATAAATTATTATTTTGTCATGTCTTATACACTGTCTGATGTCTCCCTTCACCGACTTTTCTGTTGCCTAATCGTCCAGGTAGGAGGTTTTATGTAGATCCTTGTAATTGTTCCCCTTTTCCAACCCACCCTCCCTCCACCTGCTTCAAGTTTTTAGACACATTTTTTTCTTCAAAGTTCTAAACTGACAAATGCGATTTCTCCCCTTCACCTTCATAACATGCTTAAAAGGACCGTGTCGGTATTCTGTGATGTTCACCTTCGCAGTGCATAAGCAAATGTGGTGAAGAAAGCTGACAGTGCCCAGCTATTAAAATACATTGCATCTGGGGTCTTAAAGGCTTGAAGTTTAACAAGGAGCCATCTCACAAGGAAGCAACCAAAACCCACATGGAAGAAGCACACCAGCCTGTTTGATCATGAGGTGTTGACCGGATCAAGTATCATGCATTAGAAGACCCCAAACAAACAATCATAAGAGTGCAAAATCATATCGATGCAAATGAGGGGGTCGGATGGAGACCCAAAGCTCATCAGTAGACAATTGGACATGCCCATCACAGGTGGGATGGACGAGCCAGCCAGGGTGCAGTATAGCACAGACAAAATACACAACATTCCTCTAGTTCTTCAATGCTTCCTTCCGCCCTCGCCCCACTATCAAGACTCCAGTTCTCCCTTACAAATCTGGCTAGACCAGAACATGTACACTGGTACAGATAAAAGTTCTCCACCCATGAAGTTCAGGACAAATAAAACCTTCAGGTACAATCATGAGAGTAGCAATATCATGAGGGTGGGGAGAAGGTGGATGGAGAAGAAGGAACGGATCACAATAATCAACATATAACAGTAACCAGTATAAGACATGAAATAATAATGATTTATAATTTAACAAAGTTCATGAGGGAGGGAGGGAAAAAAAGAGGAGCTGATACCAAGGGCTCAAGTACAAAGAAAATGTTTTGAAAACGATGGTAACAAATGTACAAATGTGCTTGACACAATGTATGTATGTATGGATTGTGATGAGTTGTACAAGCCCTCAATAAACAATTTATTTTTTTAAAAGCGTCACACATATTTATTCCCATTTCACAGGCTTAAGATAAAAAAAAAAGATTCTAAAAAAAATAAAAAACAAACAATTTTTTTTAAAGAGATTCTATGTTTAGAAAAGAACTATCAGGTTTGGTGTTCTTGCTAATCAACAGATAATATGTCAATCTGCATGACATAAATTACTATCTTTTTTAAAAATAGTTTTATTAGGGGGTCATACAACTCTTATCACAAACCATACATACATCAATTATGTAAAGCACATTTGTACATTCATTGCCCTCATCATTCTCAAAACATCCGCTCTCCACCCAAGCCCCTGGCATCAGCTCCACATTTTTTCCCCTTCCTCCCTGCTCCCCACTCCCTCATGAGGCCTTGATAATTTATAAATTGTTATTTTGTCATATCTTGCCCCATCCAACGTCTCCCTTCACCCACTTTTCTGTTGTCCGTCCCCAGGGCGGAGGTCACATACAGTTCCTTGTAATCGGTTCCCTCTTTCCTACCCACTCTCCCTCTACCTTTTAAAACACAGAGAAGCAAAGATGAACTGTTAACAAGAACCATCTAAACACCAATTTCAACCAACTAGATTGGAATTGATGCTAAAAACCACTGCTGTCCTGTGGACCCCGACTCCTAGGGGCCCTGCGGGAGAGAGCCGAGGGTCCCACAGGGCTTCCAGGGCTGCCATCTTTGCAGGACACTGGTGGCTTCAAACTGCCTGTCTTTCGGTGAGCTGTCACACGCCTCACCTGTTCTCCTGTGGCTCTCCCAGGGCTCCTTGCAATCCACAGTCTGGTGAAATTAGCACAGTGGAAGCGCATTTTAGAGATCCTGCTTTGTCAGGCGGAGGCTAAAATGGCTCTGAGTAATTTAAACTTTTTAAAAAAACAGTAATTTTTAAAAACTGTATCTCTATACCCATCAAACCATTAGAGATCTTTAGAGTTTGGTACAATATAAATTTTTTCTTACTCCTTATGTCTATGTGGGAGACCTGGTAGTGTATTTGTTGGGCTGTAGCCACAAGGTCAGCAGTTTGAAGCTACCAGCTTCAAATTCCAAGGGAGAAAACTGAAGCTTTCTACTCCCATAAAGAGTTACAGTTTCAGAAACCCACAGGGGCAGTTCTACCCTGCCCTTTATTAAGTTTCTGAGTAGAAATCAACTTGATGGCAGTGAATTTGGTGGGTTTTTTTTTTTAAATACTGACATGAGAGAAAATAAAAAATTACCTAAGGGGGAAATAAAATAGAACTAAGCTTTGACGCAAAATTGACAAAGGTTAAGCTGGATTTCTAGACTTTTGAAGGCTTAAGCAAGTCACCCAACCAAAACCAAGCCCATCCGCCATTGACTAGATTCCAACTCAGAGAAGCCTGTAAGATAGAGGGACTACCTTGTACAGTTTCCAAGGCTGCAAGCTTTAAGGAGGCAACTGCTCTGGAGTAGCTGATAGGCTCAAACTGCTGGCTATTTGCTTCGCAGCTGAGAGCTCAGCTACTGTGCCACCAGGGCTCCTTATCAAGTCACCCACACATCATGCCCGCCCCCTCCTGTATTTTATTTTATTCTATAGGTTTAACATGGGTAAAAGCCCTGGTGGTTTAGTGGTTAAGTACTTGATTGCTAACTAAAAGGAGAGCTGTTCAAACCCATCAGTCAGTTGCTCTACAACAAACGATGTAGCCTGTGGCTTCTGTAAAGACTTGGCGCTTTGGAAACCCCATGGGGCCCTCTGACTCTGTACTTTGGGTCACTGTGTGTTGAAATCAACTCAGCAGCAGGTGCTTTTGTTTTCGTATGGTGGGTAATGAAAAGGTGGCTTGTTCATCTTTAAAACATAAAGGGGATCAATGAAGTTTAAGATAGAACTTCACAAAGTTTCCGGTGCCTGACAATCAAGTCTTCAAAGTAATCCTTCCTCCTAATCTATTACAACCGGACATCTGAGCAGATTTCCAGCTAAGACTACTTGGCATGCCAGAGAAAGGAACTGATAACACACTCAAACTCCTCACTTCCAGAAAGCTCAGCCCAACTTCACTACAAGCTGTGGAGAGCTTTGGCCAGTGGTCTGATACCCTGGAGACACAAGAGTGGGAAGGTCTTTGGGGAAACACACATTAAGGCTTCTAACAGGCAGTGAATGTTCACATCTGAACACTGGCGCAGCAAAGGGCTAGCAAAGACAGTCTTCAGCATGATGAGAGTCACAAGTAAGGGATAACAAGAAGTCCAAGGAGTAGCTCGACCGTACCCTAGACAAGATGTCGCTTCAGGGACACACATGGAAGTCTACACAGAGAAATGCACACGAATCCCCAAGTTCTGCAAAGTCTGTGTAAAATCCTACAGGATAAGAATATAGTTTTATAGTACAGTGAGTACACCCATCAAAAGCAAAGACGGCATCCAGGGGAACACCATGAGCACTCAAAGCTCACCTGTAGAGATACATGAAGAAGCAAAGCAAGTGAAAACCAAGCTTGATCATGGCTTCTTTCATGTGCGACTTCAGCTGCCCTCGATTGTGTATTTCTGTTGGATCAAACACTCCCATGTTACCACTTGGCACCATAATGAACCTGGGAAAACAAAAGAGAGAAACACATTAGAATGAAGATCAAATTCTCAACATAAAAACTAAAAATAATCATAGCAGTTCTATATCTAGACCAATTATGGACAGGGAAATATGGTGATATCAAGAGTCATTACTTCCTTTTTCTTTGGAATATACAGTACTGTAGATTTTTAGCTCTCAATTACCAAAACCACAGCAACTGTTTCATTTTTTTTTTAAATCATTTTATTGGGGGCTCGTACAACTCTTAGCACAATCTTTACATCCATCCATTGTGTCAAGCACATTTGGACATTTGTTGCCATCATCATTCTCAAAACATTTGCTTTCTGCTTGAGCCCTTGGTATCAGCTAATTTTCCCCTCCCTCCCCGCTCCCTCATGAAC